CAGGAGAAGTAGAAACTGCAAAAGCAGTATAAAACCATATAAGGTGCATTCGTTTGCAGAGAAATGAAAGCAATTCCTGAGAAATGAAACTAAAGCGGTTACATCTGTAAATGGAGGCATTATACAAAATGTTTGCCAGTTAAAAGATGTATCTCCTTACAAGCACTAGTCATCAAAGAACCTCATCTCATCTTTTATCCTGGCATCTTTTATCCTCGGACCATTTAATTCCTAAGGTAGCCATTTTGTTCCACTTTAATCAAGAGATTATACTGCCATAGTTTCTTAGCAAACAAGGGATGTAACATTATGTGGCGTACAATCTCCTGGTAATCCTCAGTCTCAAAAGGGGGCAAGTGGCATCATCTTGAACTATAGCGTCATGGCTCATGTGACGGACGCAAGATCGCTGCCACCAATATGTGACGATCCCACCATCGCTGTCACCAGTATGTGACGAACGAGGCGTCAGACCCCAGCCCTTGTCACCAAACTCGTGACCAAAGGACTGGCCAATCTAAAAAAACCGCGATGTCACATGCATAACAATGCCACACCCAGCTGCTCCCTGCACAACGATTTTCCAGCTAATTGGACCACAATCTATGTACCGGCAGCGTGAGCGATTGTCAGGTTAATTACGCAATTAACCCTTCACACTGCCACCACACCTCCTTTTTGTACAGAGTAGGAGGAAGCTCGGCGATATCAGTTATAACACTATAATGGTTGAGATAATCGTCTGTATAACACGGTCACCGCAGGCCGGTTATACAGAGGGTTAAACAAACACAGTAGCGCTCTTTTTAGAGGCAGCTAAAGAAACAGTTCAACACTTTCAGAAGGAAAGATTTATTACTAAAAGGTCAAACGGTACAATAAAAATATTTACAGAAAAAAGATGTAACATATATATATATATATATATATATATATATACACACATATACACATACAGAGAACAGCACAGCAAAGAGAAAACAGGAGGAGGTTAAAGGGGTTAAAGTACTTGCCCATCAGTCTTGGGTTTGCAGATCAAGTTTCAGAGCGAAAGGGTACGGTTCTCCCCAGGTGGTTCTGATGTTAAAATGGGAGACTTCTTCAACTTACTTTTCTTAGGCCTGACAACCCAATTTGTAGTTCCCCAGCAGGGGGTGTCTCTGAAGTCAAGGACCAATACCCTTGTTTAGGGAGGGATCGTCTGGGCCTAAACTAGAGCCAAAATCTCTTATAGTTCATACTTTGGCTCATAACTTTACATATGCATAAGTGACACTCCACCCGCGAGTAGATTATTATGCGGACACGTCTGAGGAATGATTAGATATTAAATATGAAATTCTACACTGAATGGTTCATGAGATCTACTTTTCTGCTTTCCTATGTATTCTAACCACGGAGAGTGACCTATCAAAATGTTCGTCTCCTCTTGGCCAATCGGACGATATGCCTGGTTTTTATGTAAGTCTCTCATATTCCAAGATACGAGACATAGGGTAAAATGGATTTTTAAAAAGGTTATCTGGTTCAATGTCTTTTGAACTCCTGGGAACTCTGCATTATCTTTTCACGAGGTGTTAAATGGCACAGGTTCTTTGGACAGGGAGGACCCCCCCCCCCACCTCACCCACCCCCACCCCCCACCCACTCCCACACCCACACACCCACCCCCACACCACTTCGGTTAATAAATTTGAGTAGTTCTTGCATTCACCCGACTGTTGAGTTATTTCCCAGTGTATGCTGCCGTGAAGCGCCAGGAAAACAAAAAATTGTCACCTTTCCATAATTTTCTTCTCCTGGTGCATCTTCATGGCAGCATACAGGTGTCCACCCTTGAGGTGATAGTTACAAATAATGCTGTGGTGTGTCCCGGCTAAAGAACTTATAGATAACTGGTTCTATCAGGTTGTGGGGGGCGCAGCAACAACCCAGTGTATGCTGACATGAAGATGCACCAGGAAAGGAAAATTATGGAAATGTGAGTATATATTTTTGTTTTATTGAATATTTTGTAACTTATGGGAAACGGGTTTGGTTCTGCTCTAAAGCTTGTGATGAATGCTTTAAAAATTCAACTCCGTTTTATTACCACCTTGTATTTATTTTTATTGCTTTCTTCATTTTGTTTTTCATATCCACTCCTTTTTTTTTTTTTTTTTTTCATACGTTCATTACAGTAGGCCTGCCCAGACAAATCTTTTTTAGCAGCCAGCTCCAAAAGTTAGGATTCAGCAAAAATGTGACTTTGGTCTGACTATATCTTTCTGTATGTGCACGGTGATTATAAGGTTAGCAGCATTACACAACAGAAACTGTATATACAGTGGGGCAAAAAAGTATTTAGTCAGCCACCAATTGTGCAAGTTCTCCCACTTAAAAAGATGAGAGAGGCCTGTAATTGGCATCATAGGTAGACCTCAACTATGAGAGACAAAATGAGAAAAAAAATCCAGACAATCACATTGGCTGATTTGGAAAGAATTTATTTGCAAATTATGGTGGAAAATAAGTATTTGGTCAATATCAAAAGTTCATCTGAATACTTTGTTATATATCCTTTGTTGGCAATGACAGAGGTCAAACATTTCCTGTAAGTCTTCACAAGGTTGGCACACACTGTTGCTGGTATGTTGGCCCATTCCTCCAAGCAGATCTCCTCTAGAGCAGTGATGTTTTGGGGGCTGTCGCTGGGCAACAAGGACTTTCAACTCCCTCCAAAGGTTTTCTATGGGGTTGAGATCTGGAGACTGGCTAGGCCACTCCAGGACCTTGAAATGCTTCTTACGAAGCCACTCCTTCATTGCCCAGGAGGTATGTTTGGGATCATTGTCATGTTGGAAGACCCAGCCACGTTTCATCTTCAATGCCCTTGCTGATGGAAGGAGGTTTGCACTCAAAATCTCACGATACATGGCCCCATTCATTCTGTCCTGTACATGGACCAGTTTGTCCTGGTCCCTTTGCGGAGAATCAGCCCCAAAGCATGATGTTGCCACCCCCATGCTTCACAGTAGGTATGGTGTTTTTTGGATGCAACTCAGCATTCTCTCTCCTCCAAACACGACGAGTTGTGTTTCTACCAAACCGTTCTATTTTGGTTTCATCTGACCATATGACATTCTCCCAATCCTCTTCTGGATCATCCAAATGCTCTCTAGCAAACTTCAGACGGGCCCGGACATGTACTGGCTTAAGCAGGGGAACACGTCTGGCACTGCAGGATCTGAGTCCCTGGCGGCGTAGTGTGTTACTGATGGTAGCCTTTGTTACGTTGGTCCCAGCTCTCTGCAGGTCATTCACTAGGTCCCCCCGTGTGGTCCTGGGATTTTTGCTCACCGTTCTTGTGATCATTTTGACCCCACGGGGTGAGATCTTGCGTGGAGCCCCAGATCGAGGGAGATTATCAGTGGTCTTGTATGACTTCCATTTTCTAATTATTGCTCCCACAGTTGATTTGTTCACACCAAGCTGCTTGCCTATTGCAGATTCAGTCTTCCCAGCCTGGTGCAGGTCTACAATTTTGTTTCTGGTGTCCTTCGACAGCTCTTTTGTCTTAGGATGCTATGGTCTCGGGGTAAGCGGCGTTATGCATGACGTGTTGGTCTGGGGATTCGTCCGCCACGCACATCACGTCAGGCATCATACCGCTGAGTGAATGTATTTATCGTATGCTTGGAACTATATTGCAATGTGGTGCGCTGCGTCGCAGTATAGGGTGAGATGTACCCCGATAACGAGTATCATGTTTTTTTTATATTTATGTAATAAAGTGTCTTTTTCAATCAAAAAAAAAAAATAGTGGAGTTTGGAGTGTGACTGTTTGAGGTTGTGGACAGGTGTCTTTTATACTGATAACAAGTTCAAACAGGTGCCATTGATACAGGTAATGAGTGCAGGACAGAGGAGCCTCTTAAAGAAGAAGGTACAGGTCTGTGAGAGCCAGAAATCTTGCTTGTTTGTAGGTGACCAAATACTTATTTTCCACCATAATTTGCAAATAAATTCTTTCCAAATCAGCCAATGTGATTTTCTGGATTTTTTTTTATCATTTTGTCTCTCATAGTTGAGGTCTACCTATGATGCCAATTACAGGCCTCTCTCATCTTTTTAAGTGGGAGAACTTGCACAATTGGTGGCTGACTAAATACTTTTTTGCCCCACTGTACATCAAATATGATAAACAGCTGCACAATGTAACAGCCCACGGCATTCAATTAACTGTGCATTGTAACTGTCCAAAGCATTCAAGTGTAACTTTTTGCAGTGATTAAAAGTAACCATCAATATATGTTTATCTTTAAAAAATGTCTCACCATTTTGATAGTTTCTTTGAATTAGGATTATACACATGACTTTGTAGGCAGTTTTTATTGTTCAAAATACTGTGTTCACCAATAAACTATAGGAACAGTTTTGGAACAATTCATTTAAAAAGTCTATTACTGTATGTAGCAGCAAACAAGCCTTGAGATATTTTAACCTTTTTTTTACGACAGGCTGTTTGCACATCTACTGTAGTTTATACTAATAACAAAGATCTGCCAGCACAGTTAGCACAGGGTAAGTTATGGTAAACATAACTTCCCAGCCCCTCTTTAACATTACATAGAAAGCAAGTAAAGTAAAAGAGTAAGCAACTATTCTAAATATTTTTATTATCTATAAGTTATGTTATCTGGATGAGAAATGCAGTTTAAGGGTAAATTCAGCCAGGTTCTGGGTGCAAAGGGCTTCCAAAATCTGTGTTTAGGCAACCATTTGGCTCATGCTGCTGTCACTATCTACTGCAAGAAAATATATATGAGAGTCAGATTACTCCATGTGATCATTTTTACTTTGTCAGTGTTAGAAATATCTAAATTTGAAGTGCTCATATCTCACCTATTGTATTATTTTCTTCTGTGTTAAAAGACATCCCTCTAATATGAGAACATTTCTAAGTACAGTCAGAGTACCTATTTACAACTTTCTCTTTTTTTTTTTTTTTTTTTTTACAGAATATCCCGTTTTTCAAATGTATCTCATTTGTCTATCCATATCTCTAAAAATTTTGGGGCTGAAAACTCAAAGATTTTCTATATTGGCCTAAGAGGAGAATGGACAGAGGTAAACAATTTGTATGCATTTACCAACATTTGTGGGGAAATCCTGGAATAGATTAGGCTTCACATTAAACAGTTGAAATCACACATTGCCTCCCACATTCATGAATTTTCTAGGAAATCAGGGACTGCTAGCAAATACTTCTTTTTTTAATTTAGTGCTGGAAGACCTGGGGATTTTTTACTACTTTTGTAGGATCAGAATTGATGAGTTGGCAGTAGCTTTCTTTTAATTGCCTACATACAAAAAAACAGAGGTTGATTGGTTGTTCTGGACTTTTCATTGTTGTGGTTTTCAGATCTTTATTTTTAGTCACATGACTGTAACTTTCATTTCAAAAAGTTTTTATTCAAAGGCAGTAGTTCAAACTACATATAGAAACTGCATTGAATGTAAATTTACAAGTATAGTAATCAGCAACAGGAAACAATATATAAGGAAATACAAAGAAACACAATGTACATCAATCTCCTTAGGCCCCACATAATTAGGCTTGAGGGTTAAAGTGGTTCTAAAGTCAAAAGTTTTTCACCTTAAAGAAATAGGATGGCCAAAGCTGTTTTTCTACTTTTCCTGTGGGTCACAGGAGTGCACTTCACTCTGCACTCCTGTGACCTGTTTTCAGCTGTCAGCAGGCTAAAGTCTGGTCACTAAGCTGGTCCAGACTCTGGAAAAATCCCGACTTTAATGTCAGGATCCACCCAGCTGCCTGACCAGCAAGCAGCTGTCTCAGCCTCTCAGTTCATCACTGAGAGCCTGAGCCAGCTGCTGCTCCTTTCCAAAGCCCAACACTCCAGTGAGCACTGGAGGGGCAGAGCAGAGAGCTGGTGACTAACAGTCAAATGGCTCTCTGCTCACTGAAGACCGAGAACTGAGCGATCAGTGGTCTTTGATTGCTCACTTCTCGGTGCACTTAGTGGAGGATAGATGCTGCGTCCACCTGGGTGAGTATGTGTGTCATATCCTGAACTTCTTTTTTAAAGAATAAGTTCACCTTTTTTAAAAAAAAAATAATAATAATAAATGCACATGTTTTCGCAGGTAAAAAAAAAGGTGCATTTATTTATTTGCAGATCGTGGATGCTATGTAGGACTCTTGCAGACAGTCTGTGTAAGATGTCTGCTTGCACCTTGTATTAGCTGTATTGGCAGGCAATTACACACTGACCGGATGACTCAATGAACTACGTAGAGCCCTCAACAGAGCCCTGGTAGTTCATTGAGAAGTACAAGCCATCAGCCATAAAGGCTGTCGGTACTTTCACATTCACAGAATGAATAACGTGGCTGGGTGGGTCGGGCCCTACACGGTTGTGTTTTTTTTTTAAATTTTGACAGTGAGTGGGGGGGAGAAGATCCCCCACTTGTTGTCAAAACAGGGGAGGGGGGTGCAGGGGCAACTGCACCTGGATAATTATGCTGGTCTTTTAGGAATTTGAAAAATAACTAATTTACCTTGTCTAAATAGCCTGTTATAACCTTTCGTTAACACAGCATTTTTCAGTACCCAAAACAAAACTGTACCCAAATTAATTTTATACAATTTTTTTTTTTTCAGACAGACCATTCTTTTGGTGGTATACTGTATAATAACAACCAGGATTTTTTATTTTATGTCGTAAATGGGGGAGAAAATACCAAAATTATTTTCTGTTCTAAAACATAGCAAAGAAAAATGCCAGTATGAAAACCCCTGAAATGAACCTTTTGGAAAGTAAACACTCCAAGGTGATCTCAATTTTTTGCTACAATTTTTGGAAAATGAAGAAATATGCTGATATTGAGGAGGTTAAAACATTGAGCTTGGTAATGATGCGATAGATAATTTTTTGTATGGGGGATAGATGAAGGTGTTAATATACAGGTCACATACGGCTCTGTTAGAAGGGGAAGGATCAACCACGTAAACAGTAGCACGTGATCACTATGATTTGGTCATCACAGTGATCACAAAGTACCAGTTGGCTTGGTGCACTGTTTTAGGCTGGGCCATATATTATACAATTTTCTTGAGAATTTTGCTTTAGATTTACCAAAAACCATATAATAGGAGGTCAAACCTAAACACTTTCAATTGTATCCAATTAGACAGGCCCTTGCACTACACAGTTGAAGGTAAATCTAAAGGAAATTGGGCAGAAATTGAACAGAAAATTGTATATTGTATGGCCCAGCTTTCGTGTACACAGTTATTAGTGGGTGCAACAGCTGCCTGATGGCTGTTTGTCTAGTGCTGTTTATAATTGGCACTGGGTAAATAACTGTTCTCCAATCTGCCAGGTACACCCATAAGGCGTAGCATGACTGCAATGTTCATTCTTATTGGACTGGATAAAAATAACTGCCACTTTCTTTTAAATAGGATTCCTAATCCTGGTGCATTAGCTTTGTGGATTGAGTCTATCATAATTCGTTGGATAGATAAAACATGTTTGAATACAAGTGTCTTTTTGTTTACGTTGCAGGCTCATCGACACGAAGTGACCATCTGTAACTATGAGTCTGCAGCTAATCCAGCAGATCATAAAGTAACACAAATCAATCCTCAGTCGCATTTTATTTCCTAATGTCATAATAATGTTTCTTGGCTTAACAAGATAGCTTTTTATTTTCACATGATTTATGCTGTTTATGAACTTGTTCAAATAAAAATGCCTCATCCTAATGCAAATACCTCATCTCAATACAATGTATGTGTCCTTATGTTTATTATTTATGACGGGAATTTATAGAACACCAACAATTTACGCAGCGCCTTGCATACTGCTCACACAAGTCCGTGCCATTAAGGAGCGTAAACGTAAAACCTCCTACCTCACATACACATACTAGGGCCAATTTAGACAGGAGACAATTAACCTACCAGAATGTCTTTGGAGAGTGGTAGGAAACCCACCCAGGCACAGGGAGAACATTTAAACTCCAGGCAGGTAGTATCCTGATTGGGATTCATACCTGACCTTGACATGACCCTTAGTGCTGCAAGGCAGAAGTGCTAACCACTAAGCCACTGTTCTGGTTATAATTATTATTATTATACAGGATTTTTATTATGGTGCCAACAGTTTGCTCAGCACTTTACAATATAACGGGAGACAATACAGCAACAATACAGTCCAATACAAGAGGGATAGGAGGGCCCTGCTCCTCGGAGATTACAATCTAGGATAATCTCACAAAGCATATTTTGCAGACATTGAAAAATGAGTAATAAAGGTAATAACTGAGGTGATGGCTTCCTGGAGTTCATTTCAGGGTGGAAAATAAAATTTTAGATGACATATTTTAACCTTCCTCTTTTAGGGGGGGGGGGGGGGGGGGGGGTGTGTGTGTGTGTGTGTGTGTGTGTGTGTGTGTGTGTGTGTGTGTGTGTGTGTGTGTGTGTGTGTGTGTGTGTGTGTGTGTGTGTGTGTGTGTGTGTGTGTGTGTCCCCGCCCGCAGCTAAGCAGGTTTACTTGCATACAGTATGTCAGCATTAGTTAGTAAATGCATTCTGAGAAAATAGAACTAATTTCACTCTTTGGTATAGAATTCAATACTCTCATTGTACCCACCGTTGCCGTAGATCCACCTTCATACTAAGACTAGGTTCATGATGTAGCAGTACATTAACATTCATACGAAGCACAATGTTGCGATATGTTAACATGGATTATGCCGTACTATGTGTGCCATTTTAAGGCGGCCCATAAAGATAGACGGCCTAATGCACCAATGCAATGCATTTGTACACAGGGCCCCACAATGCACAGCAGCCATTAGCATGCCTTAAGATGCAATAAAGTGTGAGCATCAGCAAGAACCCAGCCTAATGATATTTTTATACCGAAATTTCAAAATACTTTGGCTGTGAGCAAAATACATTCTGCTGATCGGTGACCCTTTTCTATGTTCAGGACAGGAACATGAGTATTTGTAATATAATGATCAGTATGGATGATGTATTATTACACATTGCAGGCAAAAGAATACGGTGCACTGTAGCTTAGTGTTTGTTTGAGCCATTCATCCTTGTGACAACCCCCTGAATCCTATAAATATGATGTGAAGCAGCCAAGCAAATTATAACCATTTTTTTTTTTCTTTCTTGCTAATATAAGGTATAAGGATAAGATGAAATGGTCATCACATACCATTTAGGGGTATAATTTATCAAGCGGTAAATGTGACCTTCAGAAAATTATTAACTGTAGGTGAACCTTCAGGGTGCACTTGTTTTGAAATAAAAAAAAATAACCCACTATGAATGTTTGCTGAATGTCATATTAAGGGCCCATTCATACCACTGGTGTGGTATGGTGCAATGCACCAAGCATGATCCTGTGTTCTCACTGTCTGCAGATGTCAAGCATGAAAATGCTAAATAATTACTTATAGCCAGATGCTGAAGAATACAAGAAAATCCACTAAAGAGACCACACTTGCAATAAAAGACTCCAAAGGGGTTAAAGCAGCTTACCATATGTCCGGGTAAATGGGTGCATAAACAGAAATGATCATAAATGAGGTAGTGCTAAATCACCCAGTTGCAAAACCAAATGTGAGAAAAATATGCATCCATTTGACAAAAAACATATATAAAAAGAATCAAAGTAAAACTGATAATAAATGTCATAAGAAATAAGTCCAAATACAGTCTTCAAAAATAAAACATCCAATCTTCTGTGATGAGGTATCCGGTGAAAACATATAATCAGATATGTGCTAAAAAACACTTTTGCTACATGTGCATCTACCGTGCCCTTAAGGAAGAACTCTCGCTGGAAAACCATAACCCATCGAGGATCTGCTCTCATTTGGATTCTTCAGTTAACGAACAGCTTACATTGAAAGAGCGCCCTCCTATGAATTTGAAAACATGCCACAATAGTATAATACTGTCAAAGTAAAAATGTATTACAAAAGATTAAAAACACTCACATTGTGGTAGGAATATACAGAGCTTATCAATCAACAAGCTGGCAGTAGCTTTTGGCAATTGGCAAAGCTGACATGCGTGATGACATCACTGCCTTCAGGCCATGCCCCCTACGCAGTGACATCATCTAGGGGGATACCACCTTGAGAACATCAACATATGACGAAACGCGCAGGGGTGGTCCCTTCTAAGATTTGGGAGCTTGCTGTGACCTGATGTCTCCCCACTGTGAATGGGTGAGACATGGTAGTACAGTGAGACTGGTCCTGCAGCCTCCTGAGACATGTGATGTGTCTCTGGAGGCTGTGTGGGGGACACTCAAGCAGATATAATTATCCTCTAGGGGAAAATTGGAGAAGTGGGAGTGGGTGCCTGTCAGAATAAAGTACCCACTCCCCATTTTGAAATAAAACCCTGAAAATTAGTTATTGGCCTCATTTACACAGGCGTACCTAAGTGTACACCAATGCAAGGGCCATGTATTGCGTGCACACAATGCACAGGTGTTTCGTGTATCCATGTGCAGGCAGTCCCTGTCATGTCAATTAGGACGCAGAGGCTGCACAGATACAGCCGCTGCTCGCAATGTGACATCTGTCTGGGATGGACGGAACACCTGTGCATCCTGTGTACACCTGTGTGAATCAGCCATCAAACACTTAAATTCCCCCACATACAAGCACATTCAAACATAAATATGAACAGAACATGCAGCGCTGTTAAAAATCAATCATACATGTAGAAAATAATACATTATAAGAAGAGTGATAAGGCGACCGCTGCTAAGTAATGGCCCATCAAAATGTTCATAAATTGCAATGACATAAATATCTCCAATGAGAGTGTTCTTGTGGTACACAGTGCACAATATCACAATGAAGTGGTGAACAAATTGGTGACTTCCGTGACCATATTCCTCCCACCGAAATGAGTGTAGATTGCACTAACCAGAAAGCGCAATAGAAATGCGCATTTGAGTATTAACCAACTCCTGGTCATCCGTCTATTTAAGCTGGATCACTGGGAGGGTCATCAGGCTAGCATCCGCTGGGCAGAATATCCTAACCACAGGATCTCCAGATGTCAGGGGGTGTACACTCGTCTCACCAGCAGGGGGAGATTAATTGTTCCCAGTGTGGCCACCAGATGGTCCCCAAACAAACCTTGAAAAAGTGGGGGGGGGCTCGCAAAAAACGAGCTAGAGCGACAAGAGGATCCAATAGTGTAGTACTTTTATTAGCCACAAGAGTAAAAGAACAAAACAGTAGATATGCTACTCACATGGTATAGTAAGCAGCTGTGTATGGGGAATACCAGGAATCATCAAAAGAAGGCAATGGCCGCCGGCCGTCCACAGGGGCCGTGCGGTGTGACGTCACAGAGTATGAGGCAATCGTGGGGCAACTCCCTAACGCGTTTCATGCGCTTGCACGTTTTCAAACATAAACACTCTTGTGGGGGCACCTAAAATGCTTGATTGCATTCCACTTTAAAGCAGAACTAAACCCTCCTATCTTTTTTAGCCAAGGAAGCTGCCATCTTAGCCTCTGTTTAATCTGCAACTGTCATGGTGCTGCACATGTGATCAGTTATGACACCAGCCATTTGATGGTTTGACAGTCTGGTTGAGAGCTTAAGCAAATGTGACAGCAATCCCAGCATGCCTGGAATGGAACTGTTTTTTGAAACTGTTAAATTGATGAGTTTAGTTCTGCTTTAAAGCGGAACTTTACCTATAGCACATTGATAAAAAAATAATGTTCTTTAGCAAGGAACATACATTCCACATTAATAATTAAGATACCAAAATGAGTGTGTGCTGTAAATTGCCTTCAGCATTGTTCCTGTTTCTTCTTGCTGGAGGATGCCATTTTGCTGAAGCCCAGAGCCTTCGAAAAGCAGTAAATCATAAAGTGGAATTAAACCAATTGATTTAACGGTTTCAGAATAGTTACATTTTTGGAATGTTGAGATTGGTGTCACATTTGCTTGTGTCCTCAGACTGTCAAACCATCAAATGGCTGATTTGGCAGTTGGAGATCAAACAGAAGCAGCTTCCTTGGCTGTAAAGGATAGGAGAGTTTAATTCTGTTTTAGGGCTGTCAGCAGATCGGCCTCTACAGATTCAGCAGTGCCTAAAATGGACAGCAACTGAGCATGTGCAGAGCAGGTGAGACACTTTATTACTGGATTTTAAACAGTATAGACACTTATTTTTAATGTTTTACATAGCTATACCTGCAAAAGGGGGCACTTTGAGTGCCAGTTCTCGATGATTCGGGGCGTATCTGATGTGGTTTCACAGTGCAGTATTACAGTGCTAATTCTGCAGTGACAGGTGCAAATTCAATGCTATTTCTGAGGGAACTGGGCACATCAGGAAATTAAATTTGCACCACACTCGCAGTAAACTTGCACAGGACCCTTTTTGAAACGGATCAAATTTGCACCACATATACATTATATTGCCAAAAGTATCCCTCCAAATCCTTTGATTCATGTGTTCCAATCACCTCCATGGCCACAAGTATATAAAATCAAGCACCTAGGCATGCAGACTGCTTCTACAAACATATGTGAAAGAATGGGTCACTCTCAGGAACTCAGTGAATTCAAGCGTGGTACCGTAATAGATGGCCACCTGTGCAATAAGTGCATCCATGAAATTTCCTTGTTACTAAATATTCCACAGTCAACTGTTAGTGGTATTATAACAAAGTGGAAGCAACTGGGAACAACAGCAACTCAGCCAAGATGTGATAGGACATGTAAAATGACCGAGCAGGGTCAGCGTATGCTGAAGTGCGCAGAAGTCGCCAACTGTCTGCTGAGTCAATAGCTAAAGACCTCCAAACTTCATGTGGCCTTCAGATTAGCACAACAGTGTGTAGAGAGCTTCATGGAATGGGTTTCCATGGGCCGAGCAGCTGCATCCAAGCCTTACATCACCAAGTGCAATGCAAAGAGTCGGATGCAGTGGTGTAAAGCACGCCTCCACTGGACTCTAGAGATGTGGAGATGTGTTCTCTAGAGTGAGGAATCACGCTTCTCTGTCTGGCAATCCGATGGACCTGTCTGGGTTTGGCGGTTGCCAGGAGAACGGTACTTGCCTGACTGCATTGTGCCAAGTGTAAAGTTTTTGGTGGAGGGGGGATTATGGTGTGGGGTTGTTTTTCAGGGGTTTGGCTTGGCCCCTTAGTTCCAGTGAAGGGAACTCTTAAGGCGTCAGCATACCAAGACATTTTGGACAATTTCATGCTCCTAGCTTTGTGGGAACAGTTTGGGGATGGCCCCTTCCTGTTCCAACATGACAGCGCACCAGTGCACAAAGCAAAGTCCATAAAGACACGGTTGAGGGAGTTTGGGGTGGAGGAACTTGACTGGCCTGCACTGAGTCCTGATCTCAACCTGACAGAACACCTTTGGGATGAAATAGTGCGGAGACAGCAAACCAGGCCTTCCATTTCGACATCAGTGCCTGACCTCACAAATGCGCTTCTGGAAGACTTATTATTATACAGGATTTATATAGCGCCAACAGTTTGCTCAGCACTTTACAATATAAAGGGAGACAATACAGCAATGGTACAGTTCAATACAAGAGGAATAAGAGGGCCCTGATCCTTGGAGCTTACAATCTAAGAGGGAGGAGCTGGTGGTACAAAAGGTAATAACTGTGGGGGGATGGACTGATAGGAGAAATAGAAGATTCTGTTATTAGCTGAAGGCAGGATAGGCTTCCCTGAAGAGATAGGTTTTCAGGGATTGCCTAAAAGTGGGCAGAGTAGGTGATAGTCGGATAGATTGGGGTAGAGCGTTCCAGAGGATGGGGGAGGCTCTGGAGAAGTCCTAGAGACAAGAATGGGAGGAGGAAACAAGGGAGATAGAGAGCAGAAGGTCGTGGGAGGAGCAGAGAGGATGGTTTGGGTGATATTTGGAAACAAGATTGGTGATGTAATTTGGGGCAGAGTTATAAATGGTCAAACATTCCCATAGACATATGCAGGCCATAGACGGTTCGTTTATCGGCCGATTTTTCATCCGAAAAACGAAACATTGGTCGTTCTGTTGCCACAAATGATTGGAAAAATTGGCCATTTTTCACAAATTTTCCAGCATGACCGAAAAAAAGAAATGAGGAGGAACCGAGAAAATCGGCCGATGCCATTGCCCCACTAACAGTGCGAAAATTGGCCGATTATTCTTTCTTACGAAAAATCGGCCGATAAACGAACCGTCTATGGCCTGCAATACTCCTAAACCTTGTGGACAGCCTTCCCAGAAGAGTTGAAGCTGTTATAGCTGCAAAGGGTGGGCCAACTCAATATTGAACCCTACGTACTAAGACTGGGATGCCATTAAAGTTCATGTGCGTGTAAAGGCAGGCATCCCAATACTTTTGTGTATGTGAACAGGCCACATTGGAAATAATGCTTTTTGACATTGCATTCGAATCTATGCTTTTCTGAACGCATGTAGTAATCCACATAGAATTTGCAGCAGTGTGAACCGACACTGAGATTGGGTTTACACTAATGCGGTGCGGGACACTGGATGTAATTCGCACAGGAAATGCATGGAATGTCTGTACAGTGTGATTTGAGCCATACATTTTGTACAGCTCATTTTTGCATTGCATCTGCACCAAAAAGATGCAGGACCCTTTTTTTTCACCCGCACCTGAATCGCAGCTATATGATTTCCGGCGACCGCATTGCGTTTTGCAATCTGTTTCGGGGTGTCATTAATTTAAAATTGACACCTGCACCAGATTGCATGAACACCATGCGACTGCAACGTGGTGTAGGAAAAGCACAGGATTCGCAATGTTTCCTGCACCGCACCAACCAGTGTGAAGCTGGTTTAAGGGCCAGTTCACACTACATGCATTTCAGTTGCTTTTTTTTTGCATCTAAAATGCACAGAAAGTAGGTTATATGATTGTCAATGTCATAGTTCACATCAATGCTTGCAGTTCCAGTGTGTTCCAGATGCAGTAGAACAGGCTGCATTTTTCCTGCACAGACCTGTACTGGAATGCGGTAAAACGCATCAAAGATGCACTGGAACGCACATGTCCCTATTTAAATTGAAAAATAATGAGGAAAAATTAACTGGAACATGTAAAAAATGCATCAGAAACTCACCGGAACGCGCATGCAGAAACGGATCTGGAACGCATCTGGACTGCATTTCTATAGTGTGAACTGGCCCTAAATGTCACTGCGCACTATGGAGTGAGAACAATACTTCTAGGTCCATTATTCATGTGTAACTCTGAACTGATTATCTGTAAGAGTTATTAAAGTGCATCCTATGGAAAGTTTAGGTTACTGAAGTGTGTCACCATTTCATGGGTGCACGCAATTTAACAGCTTGTCACATTGGGTATCTGTTTATTCAGTGCAACCTCATTTTTTTTTATACTTTATCAAATAATTGTGTGATAGATTGCATGTATGCCCTAAAACAGGGGCGGACTGACAACTCATGGGGCCCCTGGGCAATAGGGGATCATGGGGCCTGTGTCCTTGCCCAAACTCATAAAAAACTATGAAAAAGATAGCAGGGGCATCTCATGGGGCCCCCTACTGACCCCGGGCCCTCGGGCAGTGCCCGAGTTTCCAAATGGTCAGTCCGCCCCTGACCTAAAATTACCTCTAGTGTATTTGTACCGAAAAACTGCTGCACTAATATTGTGTGGCATAAATATTTGGGCAGACTGACAACTCATGGGGCCCCGGGCAATAGGGGATCATGGGGCCCCTGTGTCCTGGCCCACACTCAAACCACACCCAAAGAAGCCTATGAAAGGTACAGGGGCATCTCATGGGGCCCCCTACTGACCCAAGGCCCTCGAAAGGTCAGTCCGCGCCTGTTGGAACTACCACTTTTATTCTCCAGGGTGTCCGATTTTAAAAAATATAGCATGTGTTCGGGGTTTCTAGTGAACTTCAGCTCTAAAATAATTTTTTAACGTGCAAAAAAAAAAACCAAAACATACAAAAAGAAAAAAAACTCATACTAAACCAAGCAAAAGTTTCACTTTACAAAGGGCACATTTCCCAGTCTTAAGCCAGTCACGTTAGAACAGGTGGGGCGTGTTAACAGGGACGGACTGACAACTCATGGGGCCCCTGTGTCCTTGCCCAAACTCAAAAAAGCCTATGAAAAAGGTACCAGGGTCATCTCATGGGGCCCCCTACTGGCCCCGGGCCCTCGGGCAGTGCCCAAGTTTCCAAATGGTCAGTCCGCCCCTGGCCGTGTATAATAGGTAAAACTTCTGCAGGGGAAGGGAAAAAAAAAAAAAAAGGTTCATCTGATGTCTACTTCCGCCACACACATCATGGCCGCTCAGATGCCCTCAATTGTGGGCTGTGACGTTCGGGGGAGAGCCGTGATCACGTGGCATGCGCCGGGGTTAGATCCGCTTAGCGGCTGCGGCTCATTGTTTCTCCGCGAGAGGTCAGAGGTCACCGGGGCGGTGTGTGACATCACTCCGGTGCATGTGCGGAAACAACATGTCTGTGCCGTTACTCACCGACGCTGTGACCGTACCCGGAGGGGAACGAGAGACTGCGGCGGTAAGACACGTTTAGCGGGCTGGGGAGCGCAGGGCCGCCTTGTGTCCTGTGTGTGAGGGGTCTCAGTATTCTAATGAGACTTGTCAGGGCGGGGGCAGAACTCCTCATGACCTAATACAATACACCCCTCCCTGTACATGTCACCTCCTCATGGATGTACCCTTCTCCCACCAGGTGATCTTCCTGCACGGCCTGGGGGATAACGGGTAAGTGGCTTCTCTCATGACTGTGTCATCATCATCCCCTTTGTATTGGGCTTTGGGTGTGTGTGCTGATCTCTGCCCATATGGACACTGCTCATCTCTTCCCAGACAAACTCCACAGCATTGCCATAGGAAATCATTTACCATCATATCAAACCCTAAAGCTAACATTTATTATATATCAGCTTACACATCCTTAGATGTCCTGGCTGCATTAGTTTTCCTTTTTTTTTTTTTCCTCTTTCCTTTTATTCTCATCTGGTGATCTGACCAATACAGCTATATGCACACTGGCGACTAAGGCTGCTGCGATTTGCAGCGGTAGGAATCTTCTGATTTGCACTTTATATGCGTCCAGCAGAGATCGCCGCACTGAGAATAGCTGCGGCCGCCAGCGACCTGTCATTATAGTGAACGGGGCTACCGGCCGCACCTAGCCACTTGCAGAAGAAATCGGAAGGTCCCTGCTGCTACAATTTGCACCAGGATAAGGGTCATTTTACATGGGCGTTCCGTTTTTTTTTGGGGTTTTTTTCATCAGTTCAGTCTTGTTTTTCCTGAGAAAAAAATGGATCAGTTCACGTCCGTTTTTCATCAGTTCACGTCCAATATTTTACATCCTTTACCAATGCAAAAATGGACCGTATGTCCATTTACATCCATTTCATACGGGCGTTCCGTTTTTTTTCATCAGTTCAGTCATGTTTTTTTCAAAGAAAAAACGGATCAGTTCACGTCAGGTTTTCATCAGTTCATGTCCATTATTTTACATCCTTTACCAATGCAAAAATGGATCGTATGTCCATTTACATCCATTTCACACGGGCGTTCCGTTTTTTTTTTTCAGTATTTTTTTTCATCAGTTCAGTCACGTTTTTCCCAAGAAAAAACAGATCAGTTCGCGTCAGTTTTTTCATCAGTTCACATCTGTTTTTTTAAAAAATCCTTTACCAATGCAAAAATGGACCGTATGTCCATTTACATCCATTTCATACAGGCGTTCCGTTTTTTTTTTCATCAGTTCAGTCACGTTTTTCCCAAGAAAAAACGGATCAGTTCTCGGCAGTTTTTCATCAGTTCATGTCCATTATTTTACATCCTTTACCAATGCAAAAATGGACCGTATGTCCATTTACATCCATTTCATACGGGCGTTCCGTTTTTTTTTTCATCAGTTTAGTCACGTTTTTCCCAAGAAAAAACGGATCAGTTCACGTCAGGTTTTCATCAGTTTGCGTCCATTTTTTTAATATCCTTTACCAATGCAAAAATGGATCGTATGTCCGCTTACATCTGTTTTTCGTCTGTTCCATTTTTTTTACAGAAGAAAAGTAGGGTTTTCTGCCATTCAAAAAAACGGATGCGGAAATTAATGGATGTAACATTTAATCCGTTTACATCCGCTAGTCCATAGAAATACATGGGTGTCCGTTTGATCCGTAAACGGACAGATGAAAAATGGACGTATGAAAAATGGACATACAGAATGCCCGTGTGAAAGTGGCCTTTATCGTCAGTGTGAATGTAGCCTAAGGGCCAGTTCACACTACAAAAATGCACTCTGGATGCATTCCGGATAGGTTTTTGCTTATAGTTCACACCACACGCAGTTTTGATGCAGTTTGCCATGTTCCAGTATGGTTCTGTGCCGAAAAAATAAAGCATGTTCTGTTTTTTTTTTTTTATGCACCGGGAACTGACTGCACTGGTGTGAACCAGGGCGATTTAGAATACATGGAAAACACTGTGCATGAATTTTGGATGCAGAAAAAAAGCACACTGAACTGCATCTAGTGTGAACTAGCCCTCAGGCTGTTGTTTTTCAAAGAACAAGCTGTCCTACAGATGTCCCAGGTAGAGCAAGGTTTCTCAACCAGGGTTCCTCCAGAGGTTACCAGGGGTGCCTTAACCCCTTCCCACCTAAGGGTAAAACAAATCTTAATGTCCAAGCACAATTTTACAATGTTGACATGTGTTAGTAAAACTGTACATATCATCACAACTACTTTGTACATCCAGGTGAATTATACCTTGTTTTTTTTTCCAGACAAATTGGGCTTTCATTTGGTGGTAAATTGTAAATTTTTTTTATTTTTTTTGTTTATATCAAAGGAAAACTGGTCCAAATAGTAGAAAATTTTTTTTTTTATTTAGCGGTGTGCTTCTTGTTACTACCATAACCTACCACCAAAGAACAACACAAAATAAATTCTCCAGCTCTTGACGATTGCAGCAATAACATATATGTGTATGTTATTTGTTGTTTGTACCTGTACTACAGCCCAGAAACAATAGTGCACGTTTTTTTTTTTTTTTTTTTTTTCAACTAGAACACACTGACACTGATACCAAATTTGTTTTTAAATCCTGACCTTGACCCAAACACTTACCTGGCACTGAGTTAGATTAAACCTTAATCTAGTTTTTTTTTTTTTCTTTAAATATTTATTTATCTTTTTAATTTTAATTTTTTTTTTTTTTTTTCCAAACATTTTTTTTTTAGAGTTAGAGAGATACAATGTATCTCTCTCCTCCATTCATCGAGAAAAAAAAAAAAGAAGGGGGCCGGGCTGTACAGTGACTGATCACTGTGATAGCCAGTCAGAGGCTATCACAGCAATCATGTGATCCAGAATCGGGAGTCATGGGTCCCGATCGTCAGAACGGGACTTGGTGCTCTCAGTGACACCGCAGTCTTTTTGCTGGGAGCGCGTCATGCAGCGCTCCCAGCAGAAAGACAGGTACACAAATATGTGGCCCCACGGAAAAAAAACGGAGGGGGTTTAAGCAATGAGCAATTTCTGCCTGTCGGATAGTTCCCGCTGACACCATTGATCTTTTTAGCTGTCTGTAAGAGGAGATTCTTTCCAATGACCACAAGTGTATGGAGCATTCTTTCCACTGACCATCACATTCATGTATCATGAGTTGTAGATATTGTCATTTTTAGCAGGGGTTCCTTGAGTTAGGAAAGTTATTTCAAGGGCTCAATGAGCATTCTTCCCACTGACCATCACACTATTGTATCATGAGTTGTAGATATAGTAATATTTAGCAGGGGTTCCTGAGACCACAAGGTTATGTCAAGGGTTCCTCTGTGTTGACAAGTTTGAGAAGGGCAGAGTCAGAGGGTTGAGACAAACCATTGAACACCAGCAGTGGTGCTTTTAGTGCTCAGCATTTATTTATGTAAAACCTTTACCCCCTTAACCAGCACCCCTTGTGCTCCTTCATCCAGGATGAGTGCACTCTAATACAGGAGTTGTGTTAGTGGTCAAATCAGAAGGCGAAAACAAGAGTTGTAGTTTTCTCTTCTCTTCTTTACATCTGTTCAAAGTGCAGAATTTATGCAGCTTGCCTGAGCTCTCAGCCTTCAGCAGGGAGCTGAAGTTACACTCTGCAGAGCTCCATGAGAGCTGATTGGAGAGAAGGGACACACCCCCCTTCACACAGAAAACAGGAACAAAGCTGAGGCTGTCAATCACAGGTTGTGTGTACTGGAGATCCCTCCCTGTCACCATTTTATTGGTGTCAGAAAACCTGTCAGAAGTGACCCATGCGGATAGTAAAGGAGTAGACAGCAGACAGAAATGACATTTGGTGCTCTGAATAGAGACAAGTACACACTATAGAGAGATATGCTATGTTCATATTTCATGTCTCAGGTTCACAACCACTTTAAGGTGCCAGCCTGTACATCTATTTATTGTCTAGAGCAGGGCTTCTGTTAAATCTGAAAACTAGTGACATCCACTTCAGCCATGCAACATCTGCAAACTCCCTTGCAGCGCTGACACCTTCTTCTGAGATCTTAGGCCATCGTAACTCCTTCACATACAAGTTAAAATGAACCTCCAGACTATCCATAACTAGTCTTAAAATGCTCCCTCCCCTATCCTAACATCTATGCTGACTAACCTGTGAAAGAAAGATTATATACTTACCTGTTTTCAGGCCGCTCTGGTCCAGTCACATGATACAGCACCCCTCTGTCAGCCAATGGCTGCAGCAAGGGAGAGGAGGAAGTGCTGATAACAGATGGGCCAATGTAAGCCCATGGATAACATGACCGCTCCCAGGCATTAAGAGCTGTTGTCGAGTGCCATTTCCTCTTCCTGCAAGCATCACTACTACAGGAGAGATCACATGACCGGAGTGGGCTGAAAATAGGTAAGTATATACATTTTTCTTACAATGGTTAGTCAAGGTACAGTGGGTATAGAAAAGAATCGCCCCTTTTAAAATAACCACGTTTTGTTGCTTTGCAGCCTGAAATGAAGACAGACACAGTTTTTGTTTTATCCAGCTGTATCTACTCAGTGCAACTTATAACTTCCAAGTGAAAGAACACCAACATCCCAGAAAAAAAAATTAAAAACAGTATGACTGAGTTGGAAAAAGGATCACCCCCTTGTGTCAGTATTTTTTGAACCACATTTCGCTTTAATTACAGCCTTTATATATGTCTCTACTAACTTTGCACATCTAGACTTTGCAATATTTGCCCACTCTTTGCAGAAATGCTCAAATTCATTTAAATTTGATGGTGACCGTTTGTGGACTGCAGTCTTCAATTCATTCCTCAGATTTTCAATAGGGTTTAAGTCTGGGCTCTGAATAGGCCATGCAAGGACATTCACCTTTTTCTCCTTCCACCAGGATGTGGTCATTTTTACTGTGTACTTTGGGTCATTGTCATGTTGGAAGGTAAACCTTTTTTCCCATTGACAACTTTCTGACAGAGGGCAGCAGATTTTCCTCAAGAATTTGATGGTATTTTGCCACTCTGTGTTGTACCAAATACCTTCCAGTTCTTAATAATAGACTTCACTGTGCTTTTAGGCATTGGTAAAGCCTTTGCATTTTTTGTATCCATCTCCTGACTTGTGACTGTCCACAACTTTATTTCAGAGATCTTTTGACAGTGCCTTGCCACCCATAGTTGATTGTTTGCTTCAGTTACACTACCAGGGACTGAAATGCTCCAGGAAAGCTCTTTTCATGCTGAGCTAATCAAAATGACCACAGTTGAAAGTCAAATTTGCTTTATGTGCCATTGAGCAGGTGATTAGCTACAAGTCATTTGAAGGGGGGGGGGGGGGTTCCTGACATGTTGGTATAATATGGATGTTAATGTTTTAAGTTGCACTAAGTAAATCTAGCTGGATAAAACAAACTGTGTCTGTCTTCCTTTCAGGCTGCAAATCAACAAAATGTGTTTATTTTAAAGGGAGTGATTCCTTTCTATACCCACTGTAGGTGTTAAGCGTGGTGTTGAGGAGCATTTCTAAGATTAGTTAGGGCTTTGCCTGAAATTCCACTTTTTTCTTCCTGGCACCCAGCAGATGCTAGAATTGTACATAGAGCTGCACATGCGCAGTACAATGTGAAGAAGATTGTGAGGCAGAAAGGAAGAATCCTTTATTGCATACAACATAGTGTTCTTGTCTACTCCAATAACTGCAGCTCAGTTTCAGGGTCTTGGCAATTTTCTTGTAGCCTAGGTCATCTTTATATAGAGCAACAATTCTTTGCCATGGGGGTGCCATGTTGAACTTCCGGTGACCAGTATGAGAGAGTGAGAGCGATAACACCAAATTTAACACACCTGCTCCCCATTCACACCTGAGACCTTGTAACACTAACAAGTCACATGACACTGGGGAGGGAAAATGGCTAATTGGGCCCAATTTGGACATTTTCTCTTAGGGGTGTACTAACTTTTGTTGCCAGCGGTTTAGACATTAATGGCTGTGTGTTGAGCCATTACACAGCAAATTTACACTGTTATACAAGCTGTACACCACTACTTTACATTGTAGCAAAGTGTCATTTCTTCAGTGTTGTCACATGAAAAGATATAATAAAATATTTACAAAAATGTGAGTGGTGTACTCCTGTGAGATATATGTATGTGTTTGTGTGTGTGTGTATATTATAATTTGTGTGTTTTTGGCTATATTATTTTTTTTAATAATAAACTTTTTTGCACTTTATTTTGCTACTACTTAGACATGGCTGGGCTGATGCATTGTCTGCTATTAAACTGCCCTATGTGAAGTACATATGTCCACATGCGTGAGTATTGTTTTAAATCATTATTATTCATTTTTTTTTAATGTTGCTTTTAATTAGAACAGTTGAATATTTTGTGCGTCAGAAGTGTACATTTTGTGGTACTTAGTTTTATTCGTTTAACACGTTAATGGGTTAATGGTGCAGTAATAGAAACTACAGTTTGAGCACACAAAGCCTAGAAGGACCTACACAGCTGACCATGAGCAGTGGGTTTCAGGCTGGGTTCACATTGATTCGGTGCAAAATTCGCGTTTTCTGTGCGAATTTCGCAGTGCATCAGAATCGCACCCTGTTCATGCGAACCAATGCGTGTGTGTAAGTTAACAACACCTTGAAATCAGTCCGCAAAATGTGGTGCGATGTGCAAAATCGGATCACATAGGTGGGAATACCCATGCGATCCAATTCTAGTGCGAACCCAAAAAAGGGTCCTGCACCTTTTTGGTGTGGATGCAGTGCGATTTGAGCCATACATAATGTATGGCTCCAATCACACCGCACACAAATCGCATGTGATTTGCACAGGAATGCAGTGCGGTTCCTGTGCAAATCAAATGCAATGTACCGCACCGTATTAGTGTGAACCTAGCCTCAAAATAAAAATAAACCAAAAAGGACCAACAAGTAGTAAATTACATAATGCATGTCATTTTTCTACATGCAGACCTCGTATTCCAGTAACTCTAAACATGAAGATGGTGATGCCAGCATGGTATGTATGTCTTCTTTACTAGTGCATCTTTAACATGTTTTGTTGTAAAGGTTTCTCATTCCGACGATTTTTCTTTATTACGACAGGTTTGATTTGATGGGACTGAGTCCTGATGCTCCAGAAGACGAGGCAGGCATTAAGAAAGCTGCAGATAGCAGTAAGAAAAGACTCACTGACACACAACTGATAATGATAAAGACCGGATTGAGTGTTACTCCTCCTAAAAATTATTTTTGAATAGGTTCTACATATTACATACGCTGTAACAGCTTTTTTATAGTGTTTTGTTCTTAGCAGTTTTAATAAGCCTATTTAGTGGGTGATACAATATGCATATTTTTGAATCTGTTCTGCTATTTGCTGAAGCCCCTTTTTATCAAACAACAAACACTGACAGTCCTGGGGCAAAGCAAGGAGCCCAGTTCATGTGTCTGGTATCTACTAATATGCAGATAGTCTGCAACCTGTCATGCTGTGCCACAGTTGCTGTTATATTTAATGGTAGGCTCTTTGAATGACCCATCAGGTAGCTGTACAAGTAGTGTAATTTTTTTTCTTTTTAAGTCTTTTTATCCCAAATTATAGTTGCTTATTAAGTGTCTGCCCAAGTAGTGTCAGTTTTTTAAACTTTTTATCTTGCTTTTGACACAAAACAGATAACAAATCATACGTTTTAAGTACATGTATCTTTACGGTTTTACCTGGCAACATACCTGTAATTTTGTACAGTCATTGTTGTGACTTGCACACATTTTTTCAATACTTCACTGCCAAACAAGTAACACAGGTAACTCCTCATTCAGCAATTCAGCTTCCTTTGTCACCTATACCAGCAGTACAGCTAAATTAGGAAGTGGAAGAGCGACAGCCACACCTGGCATAATTTAAGCGGCATTATACATTTGGCGGATGTTACCTTTGCCAATCAAGGCCAATGAAAGTCAGTGGGGTGCTGCAGCATTAACAGAGTTAAATCAGGTGGTGAGGAGGTGCCATATCACCTGTCAAAGGCCTCTAGAAAGCAATCCACTGCTTTTCAGAGGGACAGCAAGAGCTGCTGCACATGAGAACGAGCAATTAAAGTGATACTAAACAAACAATGGACAAAATGGGGAGACAGAGAACAGCAGGATCAACCAGTTGTGTGGTTTTCTGAAGAAAAAAAAAAAAACTCATAGTGACTGAGCAAATATGAATAGCATGTAATACAGGATTTATTGATAAGTGTGTGTGGTGTGTGTTTTTTTTTTTTGTTTTTGTTTTTTTATGTGGGTAGTGACACTTTTAAAGTATTATGCGGGTGATGTTTTGTTTTGGTGGCAGTTATTGGATGTTAATGTTACCTTTTCTGTTTCAGTCAAGAGTATCATCGAACATGAAGTGAAGAATGGAATTTCTGCTAATAGAATTGTTCTCGGAGGATTCTCTCAGGTACTTGTCTTTGAGTGATAGTTGGCATAATGCTGTATATTTCCTGTTCTATCAAGAACTGTATTCTCTAGTTTTTGAAAGTAAGATTAAAGCTGAATTTCAGGCACATACAAAAAAATGAATGCAGTTGTGCATATCTTTTATTAAATTATATTTATTTCCTTTATTAAATACAATTGTTCACATACAAGTACAGTAAGTATTTGACTCTATCTTGATACTGGCACCCTGTCATTCCTTGCTTAGTACTCAGATATGAAGAATGAGGGGAAACACTAGAAACTTATCTGCCTCTGCTGTGTACACATATCCTGACATGGAGCAGAAGCAAAGAAAAGAGCAAATTTAGTTTGACTTATCAATATTTTGTCCCTCCTTCATTGTCCAGTCATCAAGTTGCAGACAGGGAGGAACACTACTATATTCTTTAACTGAAATGGAAAAAGTATTGCACACTTCTGACTGTACTCTCAGGCAGAGGTGTTTCAACTGCAAATGTAGTCCAGAAAAAATTTACATATCCTTTGGTATAAAAGACAGTACACACCTGTTTCATTTTTAGTGCTATTCATGAGGTAATACAGTTTTTGAAAGGGAATACTGTGCAGCAACTGCGAGTCTCTCATTCGACTCGGTTACAGTGCAGCTCCATTCACTTGAATGAACAGCCAGCCATGTTATCCTATGTGTCAATGTACACCGACTTTTAGTAGCATTTAGCTGCAGGAAAAAAAAAACCCAGGGCCAGTGCTTCCAGGAGCAGCAGAGTTTTGGCAGAAAAAAACGTTTGATGCGTGTAAACGCGTGCTGTTGAGCATTCATTCATTTCAATGGCCAGAATAAATTCTTATTCTGGCCAGTGAAATTAATGCCCAAGAGCTTGATACTTATAAATGCACCTAAACGCCTGTAAAAGCGTTAGACGCTTTTGACAAGCATCATACGTTATTTCCTGCCAAAACTCTGCTGGCAAGAGTGTTTTTAAAATGTCTGTGCATGAGGCCTAAAAGCAAACTCATCCATCTATGTCTCCATGCTTTATTTTGCTGAGAAATCACTTTGACACGCCCTTCCCCCACAGATGATTAATGTAGCATTTACTCCCTGGAATCCACCTTCCCTTAGCTCAGAGATGCAGACAGGAGAATGTGCTTAGCTGAAAAAAAAAACACTCCTGGGATGTAATTTACATCTTTTCTCTATGCTTGGAAAACTGGATGTAATTGAAGGAAGTTAAAGTTTACAAATAAATGCGATATATTTTCCGATCTATTTTCTAATGCTAGCAGCATTACAATTAAAACCAGTCATTGTGGATTGAGAGTGAAGTTCCACTTCAGGTGGTTAAATACATTTCTATGCATAACCATTTCCATTCTGGGTTGAGAAGGGTGCAGGAACCCATAACTACTGTAAAATGTATGGCATATTTTTATATAGTTCCATGTATTCTTCATGTAAGACAAAATGAGTGCCATTTTTTTTTTTTTTTTTTTTTTCATTTTATTTTTGTTCAGGGTGGTGCCTTGTCGTTGTATACTGCTTTGACCTCTCATCATAAACTTGCTGGAGTAGTGGGACTTAGCTGTTGGCTGCCTCTTCATAAGACATTCCCTCAGGTAATGCATGATGTATTCCTCAGAGTGCATAAACATGCGTTTATGGATACATTTATAAACAGATTGCTTCTACATAGAAATGTTTCCTAAAAGCATATGGTGGTCAGGTGGCAAAGAAATGCTGGAGCACAATGTCCTCTCGGGACACCAAGGAATTTGACAACTACCTTTGATGGGTGATGGACTCTATTCTCTCCACTCCACACTCCTGACATAAGCTACCCTGAACTCTGCCAGTACAAGGTGGTGCTGTCTCCATATTGCATTCTACAAATTGATTTAAAGTGACATATCAGCAGCCTTGGTCAATCAGCAGCTCTTAAGCACTTAACCTCCTCCCCTTTGCAAAACTGATCAGGTCTTTCCTATGATTCAGGATTGTGTCTTCTTCTTTTTATTATTATTGGCAAGACCACTTACCGTATTTTCCGGCGTATAAGACGACTTTTTTTTACTTAAACATACCCCAACAATTGGAGGTCATCTTATACACCGGGTATAGCACATTACTGGATGTGCGGTAATACTGTACGGTAGCTTCAGCTACATACAGTGTACCGCGCTGAGCCAATCTCGGCTAGCGATGTATTCTATTAATGAATACAGAGCCTGCTCGGATTGGCTGAAGTTGTGACATCATCAGCCCGCCTCTCTGACGCAGCCAATCCGAGCAGGCTCTGTATTCATTAATAGAATACATCACTTGCCGTGATTGGCTCATATGACATCCTCCCATTCTCCACGCATGCGCGGCGATGCGCTGTGTCCCTCGGACACAGCGGATCACTGATCACGGAAAAAGCCGAAGATGTCGGCTCAGTCATGTGATCAGCTGTGTCCAACCACAGCTGATCACAGGGAAATGCCGGTTATCGGCATTTCTCTCCTCTCGAGCTGTCAGGCTGACAGAGGAGAGACGGTAATCGGCATTCCTCAGAGGGGACATGTACACTGATCATCAGGGCACTGATCATCAGTGTGCCCTGATGATCAGTGTAGCCCCAGCAGTGCCAGCTGTCAGTGTCCATCAGTGCCCATCTGAGCTGCCTTTCAGTGTCACCCATCAGTGCCAGTCAGTGCCACCTATCAGTGCCACCTACTAGTGTGCATCAGTGCCGCCTATCAGTGCCCTGTATCAGTGCTGCCTTTCAGTGCCCATCAGTGATGCCTGTCAATGCCTATCAGTGCCACCTAACAGTGCCAGTCAGTGCTGCCTATCAGTGCTGCCTTTCAGTGCCCATCAGTGATGCCTGTCAATGCCCATCAGTGCCACCTACCAGTGCCTCCTCATCAGTGCCCATTAGTGCCACCTATTTCATATGGGTACAGTGTTGCATGACTGCACAATTGTCATTCAAAGTGTGACAGCGCTGAAAGGGGGGGGAAGTGGGTATAAGTGCCCTGTAGGCTAGGGGTTAAATGGTGTTTCCTCAGAAGGGGGTAGTCTTTATACGACGAGTATAGCCCAAAACCTATGTTTTAACTGGAAAATTAGGGGGTCGTCTTATACACCCAGTCGCCTTATACGCCGGAAAATACGGTACTGTTATCTCACATATATATTCTTATTATTATAGCCAAATTTACCACCCTAACTCCTCCCACAGTTTTTACACTACATAGACCGTAATATACCGACACGTGCGCATTGTTCCCAATTGGTGTGCTATTACTTTGTGGAGCGTTTATCGGTGTTTTTGTGGTGAAATTGGTCCCATAGGAATGAATGGCGGAATGTTCAAAAATAGAGTGGGAGCTGACAAAAGCTAGAGTGCGGGCTGAAAAATCAGGACATGACTTCTTAACTGCCATCACTCCCTCATTTTGAAGCCCACCTACACAAATCTTATATCAAAACGTTCAGCTATCCCTGCTGCCACTAAAAATGTCCACGGCTAAGCCATAGTCCTGATAGTTTTCACAATATGACCATTTTGTTTGCAACTCACACCGCCCGTTGACCTTTTCACAGTTACTCCAGCCACTCCAACCACACAACAGTTACTCAAGCCACTCCACCCAGTTACTCCGCCCACTCCAGTTGTAGACTACTGGTGGAGGCAAGAACACTTCACACAATTTCCCCAGAAATTGTAGACTTTCTAGTATTTTAAGAAAGCTGTGTTTTAGTTAACACTAAAGGAAGTGCGCAGATTTCCCTGAAAATGTTTGGGGCTTCCTTATTTTGTTGCTTTTTTTTGTGTTCTAGGTTGCAAAAATGTCATACTGAGGAGGTCTTTTCATTTTCCTAGTACACTGCCTTGTGCTGGAGAGGACTGTTCTTCAATAACTCCTGTCTTTACTATGTACTTGACAATGTTTTTATGATAAATACACAAAATCCTACTTTTTGCAACTAGTTTCTTTGGGTTGCTGTTCCTCTGTCACTCACCTCTTTAGTAATTGTTAAAGTGTTACTAAACTCACAACAGTGAAATCAGTCTGTATATGCAGTAAAGCATGCTTGTTATACTCGCTGTGGAACCTAAGGGGTTAATCCTCTGCATTGTGTAAAAAGGCTGTTTGAGCCTTTCTTCTCTGTTCCTCCCCTTTTTTCAAGTGACCACCACTTATCTCCAGACTGAACCATAGGCATGCACATGCTCAGTTTGGTGTATATTGCTAGAGAGGTTTTTTTTTTCTCTTGGAAGAGTGCATGTGATCAGCACAGGGCCAATCAGCACTGTCCAGACAAAGGCCAGGGTATTTCCATCCTCCTAGAGCAGAAAGAAAACTCCTACAAGCTTTAGCTAGTGCTGGGCTGGACACAGAAGCCAAAAGACTGCTCTAACTTCTGATGAGAAAAACAGTTTATATTTATTAATATAATTGCACTTCCATGTGTTGTGTACTGTGAGAGACCAGATATAGTGGATGCAGGGTCCTGGGTTTAGTAACACTTTAAAGTGGAACATCCCCTTTTGAGTTCCAAAGTTTGGAGACCCCTGGATTAGATCCTCCAATTATTTTTAGTATATCACCAGCTTTGAAGTGAATATGTGCTTTGCACTGCAAATACAGTGTTAAAACCACAACAGATGTATATACTTGCTTTCCTTTGGCTCCCATGTTGATCCGATTGACGGTCAAGAATGGAAATAAAGCAGTTCTAAGCAATAGCTATGGACAAATTGTAATCCACATGACAGCACTGATGGCGATGCTGTCACATGACGTGAGTCGCGTGCTCTTCCATACATACATGCATGTACTTGGTGTTTCTTTTGACTTCTGGCGCTGAACTTGGTGGCATGAGAGCGAAGAAAACTTAAGCATATGCTGCTAAGGATTGGGGGAGTTAAAGTACACCTGTGCTTTGCCATGAATGTGAAAAGCACAGGTTTGTTCTAAGGAACATGTATACAGGAACTGCAAACAGAATCCAGTATTCTTTTATTACAATCCCACAGTATGCAATGTGTAACCAATCAGAAATCATTTTTCTTTTTTCCATTGAAAAGGGGGCAGTACTTTTACCAGGTGAGCATGGCATCCAATGGCAAAAGTAGTGACCGGTTACAGTGAGGCATTATCTTGACAATAATCTCGTAATGCTATCTTTGTTAGAGATCTGCCTGTGAGCACCGCCTGACCTTTGTTATCTCCATCACAATATAAATGAAGTCTGACATTTAATCTGGAATAAGAATGAACTGGCAATATAACTACAGAATATCCAATTAACAGGTGGTTCTTTATGCCCTTTTAATATAATTGTAGGCAGCATGCAGTGTAAATAAGGAAATCTCCATCCTGCAATGTCATGGAGAGGCAGATCCTATGATTCCCGTCCGCTTTGGAACACTCACCTCAGAGAAACTGAAGTCTGTAGTGGCCCCTTCAAAAGTCCAGTTGAAAACATATCCTGGAGTTATGCACAACACTAGTCAAGAGGTAAGGACTTATTTGCAGCATAAGCTCTGATCATATTGATGCACGGATTGTTTACCTGGTTATTTTTCTTTTCTTTCTGTTATTAAAAGTATCTAGTCAGAGGCAACATGTTTACATATCGGCATCCTGCCAATCTGCAGTAACATTGTTTCTGTGATGCAGATCTAACCTGCATGCCAGTCTTCTTTTTTTACCTTTTAAAGGCTAAGTTCACCTTTTTGAAAATAATAAAGCACATATTCTTGCAGCACAAAAAAAATGCATTTATATTTTTTACATGAGTCTGCAGAGCATTGCACCTGCAATCAGTAGCTTGCAGTGCAATATCAGACTCTTGCAGACACATCCTTCATCTTCTTACGGGCACCATATCACACAGCCATGATTTTGAAATGGTGGGTGTGGGGGAGGAGGGGGTGCATGGGGCAGGATCTGCAGCATGTTAAACCCTTAAAAATGGGGGTGTGATATGCAATATGCTCCAAAAGGTGAACCTATCCTTTAAATCCAAAAAGACTTTTCATGTATAGGTAATGTAAAATAATCCATACTGGCTAGAAATATGTAGTTCCCCTCCATATTTGTTTCCTTTAGTACTACCAAAACATATATATTTTTTAAGAGTTTCATATGGATAGTTTTTTTCATTATAATTGGAGCAAGATACACCTTTTGCTGTCCAAGTGTGGCACAAAAATGCATTTATTTTGACATTTATGTGAAATGTGGCTTTTTCTCTCCTCTTAAAAGCTTAATCTCCATAGCTTAGTAGCAGGGTTTATATTAAAACATTTTGTACAAGCTTATCCTTTGGCATTAGGGGATTAACTAATACAAAATTCCCTTTTAGAGAGAAAAATCAGGCAATCTGTCCTACATAACCGTGTAATAGAGTAAAAAGGACGAAATAGGCCAGACCAAAATTGGCCTCAAAATCAATAAATAACTTCAAACTGAATCGTAAAGACCTAAAGCTACATGAAAGCAGGGGAAAACACTTGAGCAAGCAGCACAGTGGAAATAGATCTACATTCTTTTAACAGCCACCGACTTGATAATACACTGACATTTGCACTGACAAAATGGCATCCCCAAAAAATCATCTTAAAACAGAACTTCAGCTGAAATGTTAATTTTGGATAGAATGGGGAATGGTTAGAACCTATGTAAGATTGTTATTGCTGTCAGTGTTTCTATATAAAACATTTTCTTGGAGTTGCACTGTGAGAAAGTAAAAATATTTATGGCAGGCAAAATTCCCCCATGTAAACTTGAAGGTACACACCGCAGTAGTAACTAAAATATGTGCTTGCTGAAAACACACTATACTAGCGCTTTGTTTAAAGGAAAACTATGATTTCACATGAAAAATATGCTCCAGCAATTAAAATGGTAAGTGCACATGCACTTATTCTCTTATTTTGCCCTTAGAAGTCCCGCAAATACTTGTTTTGAGCTTGCCCATGAAGTCCATCTAATGCTTTCTGTGATGGTTTGGTAATGATGCTGCACAGTTCATGAATTCAGAGCAGAGTTGCCATACTTGTGTAGGCTGCTTGCACTGCAGAGGGGTGAGAAGATGTTGCAGGGAGCATGGCAATCATCATGGCCTGTAACTTGGCAATCAGTACTTGGCCTGCTTTTTGGATTGTTGATGAAACTCTCCCACTGTGAGCTAAAGTGGTTGGTAGGGGGAACATGTGGGATGCAGCTGAAGGGAGTATTTGGTTCAGTCAGGGAAGGTAAAAAAAAAAAAGAAATTGTATTTGTTTACATTGTTAGCTTTGTGCATCACATAAAAACAGGATTTGGATTTATTTAGACTTTCATACAGGAAGCCTTTAGTTGCACTTTAACCCATTCACGCTGTTGCCTCCCGGCCCTTTAAGGGTTCCAGGAGGCGGGGTTTAGGGTCATGTGACGTGCCATCACGGCGGTCACATGATCGGGAAAGATCCCGATCGAAAGAGGAAATCGGGACTTTTCTGTGAGTATCGGACATGTGTGCGCGCTCACAGCACATATGTCCTTTTTTAATAGAACGCAAATGTGCGGGGCCGCTCGGTGTCTAGGCCCAGACACCGGGAGACCGCATATTTGTGTGCGGCCGGCGTGAAGAGGTCAATGCGATGTTCACATTTTTGCATATTTGCTCCTGCAGAGATTTGTATATTAACTGCTAGAGAAGGCTCTGTTTTTTTGACTTGACTTCATTCAGTCTGCATGCTTAACTATAGAGATTGGATATCTGCTTACAAGGATGGTTTTTCAGTCAGACAACTCATATAGAATTGAAATGTAAGAAGGAGCAGTAAGGCACAACCATCAAGTAGTGTTTCAAAGCAGGAAACACAGCCGAAATTTATATCAAACAAATGTGGCTGCCCTCATTTACCTAATAGAATTACAAATTCTATATCATATTTTATTTTTTTTATTCTGTTTACTTATTCTATTACAAGAATGTCTAAAATTTAAAAAACTGTACAGTTCTTCCATCTCTAATTTCTGTTTTTAAATATGGTTGTAGGAAATGATGGCAGTGAAAGACTTCTTGGAGAAGGTGATCCCACGAGTGTAACTCACAGATGATTCCACTGCAGGAAACCGCTACTAGGCCTCACCTCCAGTGTTTCCTCCCTGAACCCTCGTCCTCTTACCCTCACACCCCCACTCTGTGCTGGTTAATGATAGAAGTATTATCTGTCCTGTCAGATTTGATTGGAGCTGTTTAAGGTACAGGGTGGGGGTTGCTGCTCCTGAACCCATTCCATGATACCTGCCAAGAGCAGGCTTTGTCTTTGCTGCTTCACAGATCCTCCTAGTGTTACATTTCATATTCTGTTGTCACAGTGACTGTCTGTTGACAGCAGAAAACCATCATATACCTCAGAGGAGCAGCTGAGTGTTGAGATGTGAATGTACCTTAAACACTCCGTCCTTTCAGGAGCAGAGCTCAGGGCCACAACAGCTGGTACTGTGCCCCAATGTAGGTATTTTTTCACAGTCATCCTGTCCCTGCTCTAGACTGGTGTTATGCTTTTGGCCTTTCATCCATGCTCTCTGAGCTCTGGTCATGTATTTGTAAGGTTATGCATGAACGGGGAAGAGAGTGTACCTTCCAAAGCAGCATTACCGTCTATATAAGGTTTTTTTGTTTTTTTTTTTTTTTTTATTCACAATAAAAAGCCTTCTACCCATTTTGGTCTGTGGTTCATGCACATATTTTGATAACATAAACTTTGCTCCTTTTGCAGCCATCTTACAAAGTGTGTGTGGCAAGCTGTAAATGCTTTGCTGTATCTTCTGTCCCCTAGTGATTCCTTGAATGAACTGGAGCTGTGCTGAGTCTTCTAAATGCAAATGTTTTCACTGCCTCTGCTGCCAGCAGCTGTACGTTACCAGTTGCATAGTTTGAACTATGATAGGTTTATTCTTCCAAAGGTGCTCTTTATAAAAAAAAAAAAAAAGTGCTACAGGGACTCGTGACGTGTTGCCTAACTAATGAGCAAGGTTGAACATCATCTTCATTTTTTTGTATTTTGTCCTAAAAAAGTCATAGCCCATAAGCCCTGTTCATACATGTATGCAACTTAACATACAGTAATACATGTTTGGATCTCTTATCTGCCCTAATGAATCTGCAGACAATTGCCCAACACCTGACGTCAGGCACATCAAGACACCTTATTCAGTAAGGCATATTATAATGTGAAACCTTTAAGTTGAATTCCAGGAAAACCACTGTATTAAAGTGGTTCTAAAATCTAAAAGTTTTTTTACCTTAATTTATTCCCTGCATTAAAGTAAAAACCCTTCCACTAGCTGTTCTGTCCCCTACCCTCTCTAAATACTTGCCAAGAGTCCTCTTTCGATCCAGGGCTGGTCTCGTCCCTGCTCTCACAGAGCAGACTGATAACTGTGGGAATCATTGGCTTCTGCTGTCAGTTAAATCCTGTGAGGAGGGGGGCTGTGGTTGAGCTGCGTTGTATGTGTGTGTGTGTGTCTATGGACACACACAGCCTTGCATCGGAATGCTCCCAAACGGGTGCCCCCATAGCAGCTGGCTTGCTATGGGGGCACTCAGAGAAGAAGAGTGGATGGCACTGGTGGGGGACCCCAGAAGAGGAGGTAAGGGGTTGCTCTGCAATATCCATATACAGAGCAGGTGAGTATAAACTATTATTTTTTATTTTAATAAAAAGCCTTTAATGCATATTCATTGCTGTGATGTAGTTGACCCTGCCAGTCTGCATAAACAGCTGTGTGTAAAGACACATCTACTGCAGCTCAACCAGGTCATGTATTTGCTCTCAGCCTATGCTTGAACATTATTTCTGCAATTCCACTCTAAATATCCATGTCAATTATTGACACATGAGCACTGCAGCATAACTGATTAACTCCCAGTCTGCAGTCCCCTGTACAGCACCGTTCAAACGACTGAGACCAAGTCTAATTCCTTTTCTTAATTTAATTAAAATAATACCTTGTGATCCGGTAATGAAGGTCCTTGATCAGGCCCTTTATGTTTAAAGGGTGGCAACTGTGCTGCTGCGTTGTGTTTGTGTGTGAAGGCAGGAGACTAGTCCACTTTTGCAACGATGAGGAAAATGTTCCAAAGCAATGATGTGCAGCAAATGCTGGAGTGAAAGCATGTAGACAAGAGGTGGCTGAGAGAGACAGGAGAAGATTAGATTACTACTGAGCTGGGGGAGAAAAAAAAAGGTGAAAACGTACTTTATGAAAAAAAAAAAACAAAAAACAGCAATTTAAAGTGTTCCTAAACCCACAACGGTAAAATCAGTCTGTATATGCAATAAAGCATGCTTGTTATACTCACTGTGGAACCTAGGGGGTTAATCTTCTGCATTGTGTAAAAACGCTGTTTGATCCTGACTTCTCTGATCCTCCCCTTCCACTTATCCCCTCTAATCTCCTGATAAGACATATCGTGTAGAGTCACTCTGCACATGCTCAGTTTGGTGTCTTGCTAGAGAGGTTTTTTTTTTTTTTTTTTTCTTGGAAGAGTGCATGTGATCAGCACAGGCCAACCAGCACTGTCCAGACCGAGGTCAGGGGTCCTGCATCCTCCTAGAGCAGAATGAAAACTCCTCCAAGTTTTAACCAGTGCTCTGCTGGACACTGATGAAGTCACAAGACTGATCTAACTGCTGATGAGAAAAGGTATTTAGCCGTTTATATTTACTAAAATAATTGAACTTCCATGTTCTGTGTACTGTGGGAGACCACAGATAGTGAATGCAGAGTCCTGAGTTTAGTAGTAACACTTTAATGTTACACAGTGAACAAAACAAACTAAATGACATCCATTACGGGTTTACATTTACTTTAAGATGTGGTTCACTAAAAAAAAAAAAAAAAAAAAAAAGAGTCTGTCTATACAAAACTCGTGTTGTTTGTGGGCTTTGTGCTCTCCTGAACCAGACACTTCCTGTATGTCATGTGATATTTGCTTTACTTGCATTTCTTTTCAGGAAATGTGGGCTTATCACGCTTTTTTTTTTTTTTTTTTTTTTTCCCTCTTTCTACTGACTGTTTCTTGGCCATGTCTTTTAAAAGATACAGACTGATACTGTCAGCAGTTCACTCAGTTTTAAACTAAGTGCAAGCACAGTCATTTTTGTGGAATGGTTCCATTAAACCTAACACAAACAAGTTGTTTTTTTTTTTCTGTGAGTTAAAGCTACTTTTAATTATTGTCTTCTATAATGTATGTTTGTGTTTTTCATGCTGTGTTGTGGCTTTTTCATGTCTGATGATCCTGAAACACATACATTATCGTATATGTAATCCTTAGCAATTAACGTCTGTTATCTGCATCCTTTTTAGTCTGAAAAGTCCTTAAAAGCAGTTTGTTATATATTTTTGGCATGTGTGAAACACACCTGTTGGTTCTGGTCAAAATTTAAGGGGAAAAAAAAAACAAAGCAAATGCATCTACCTCATCTAAGGGCTGCTTTGCTGCAATAAATACCTGTGATCTTGCCAGAAATACTTCCATTCCACGGTTTTATCTAATGCAATTTCCCGAGTCATCTTCTAGGACAGCTCACTGAGAGATAGGGCTCCTCCCAGGAAACACCCCTCCACCTTTTTTTCCCCTTTATAGGCGTCCTCACTCCCATTGGCCCCCAGTTTTAGTGTTTCCTCCGGCCAGGAAGGAGCTACGCCCGTTTTTTATTTTTTTATCTGGGCTCTCTGGCGGAGTACAGAGGGTCCCTGGCTGGGGCCCCCCCTTCCTCCAAGCAAGGCAGGGGCCTTGTGAGGGGGGGGACCTTTCAGCCAGTTTCACTAGGGATGCCCGTTGTGGGTGGGGGCGTCGGCCCCAGATGGTCCAGCGGGGCTCTCCAGGGGGGTAGAGCCCGCTCCGCCGACCGAGGCATTGGTGCCTTTCCCTGGGGGTTTCAGGTAAGTCTTTGCTCCTGATCCCGGCAGCATGGCCAGGAGGCTCGGCTGCGGTGGGTCTGGACGCTGCGATCGCGTCACTTATCCGGGCGCCGGGTGTCGTCACTTCCGGCGCAGGAGCAGGGAACGGCCGCCGCCATCTTGGAAATGGGCGGCGGGCCGTGGAAGGAACCCGTGCCACGGCCGCTTCTGTGAGAGGGGGGTCGCGAGGGGGGAAGCCCACCAGCCCCTGAAAAACCGTCGCACGAGTGCAGAGTCTGCGGCGGCATGGAGGCAGATCTGTCAGGAGCGGGGGAGGCCTGCAGTAAGGTAAGGCCTTTTGTTTGGCAACTTTCTTTTGTTTTTTACCCGTCCCTAAAAGACCCGATGGATCGGAAAGCGGACACCTTCCTGAAGAGGACATGAGCGTCCGCAGTAAATTTTAAACCTGCAGTGCAACGACCTGTGTGTCCAGAAACCCTGTATGTGTGGTTGGGGCAGCTCCGTTCGCATCTGGAACAAGGCACTCCGGGGGAAGAGATTCTGAAGTCCCTTCCGGTGCTGGAGAAAGCTTTTTAGCCTTCATCGCAGACGCATCAGCGGAGACCATCAGAGAGCTCATAAACACGGCAAGGAGGGCTATCTGGCTGAAATCGTGGCAGGGGGATCTGGCCTCCAAATCTAAACTCTGTGGCCTAGAGCCGTTTTGAAGGTAAACTCCTTTTCGGCCCGGAGCTGAATTCAGTCCTGGAAAGGTCGGCCGACAGGAAAAAGAGCTTCCGGTCCCAGCAGGCAGGTTGGACGGAAGGGGTTTCGCCCATCCAGGCGATACGCGTCAAGGGAAGCTAGGTTCCAAACCCAGCGCCCAGGCTGGGGCGCAAGAAGAGAGGAACGAGCCGAGAGGCAGGGGAGGTTTCCTTTCAACCCCGGCCAGAAATAGACCCAAAACCCAGCCGAAGTGACTGGAGAGGCCAGGTGGGAGCGAGACTGGGGCGCTTCCCACGCACAATGGCTAAGGATAAACCAGAACACCTACATGTCTGGAGGCCATCCACAGGGGGTACAGAATAGAGTTCACAAGGGCCCCCCCTCTGATTCTTTGCAACACTGCCAAAGGACAGGGCTTATGGCGGATGCGCTGGTGGACCTCCTACAAAATATGCTCAGTCAGAA